AAAAAAAAAAAAAAAAAAAAAAAAAGATGCTACTGCATTCCTGGGGAATCACTAAAGGACTACCCATACATTAGGGCTGCTCAAAAAAACCAACCACATAATATCAAAAATTAGAAGTCTATCGTACCTTCAGAAAATTCGGGTCCTCTTTGTTCATATAAAAAGGATCATACTCTTTTGGATCATAATGCTCTATAAATGCATTTCCCTACAGGAAGGAAATAAAACTACACATAACAAGAGGTACACAACTTTGAGCATAACAGGAGTCAAGAGTCAAACACACAATTCCATTCTTCTGCTTCAAAACGGCATTAATGACAAATACAAAATGGAAGGGAAGGCCAAATTTGAAGTTAAACTTAAGGTAGCCAAGTAATAAATATTATAGTGATAGAAGGGATCTACTTAAAATTTGTTATAATAATGAATGTTGGAACACTAACAGATTTGGGAAATTGTTTTTAAATGTTTAGTAGTCAACATCTCAGATCTCTTAGAAATACCAAAACAGAAATATCTTATAGTTTTGTAAATAACTGTGTTCTAGAACTATACCTATCTATTGAACCGAGGCCAAATTTAATTGGTATACAAAAATATTACATGAGAAAAGCAAAGAATAATAACTCTAATATACACATTTAAATCCAGACCTAACCTTCTTCCCTCCATACTTTCCACATGTCCTAGATTTAGGAATAGTATATGCTCTAACAGAGTAGAGGTTATACATATATACAGTGGAAGAGATAAGCTGTTTGAATGATTATAATCACCATTTTAAACCAACTGAAACAAGTATCAAATGACTTCTTAGTACCTTTTTATTTACATGTTTTAAAAAACCATCTAATTCTTCTTGTCTCCTTTTTTTAATATTCTTATGTGAACAAACTTTTTCTATAATTTTCTTCTGGAGAGGATCTGCCACGTGGTCAGTCCATCTTTTATATAACCTCTCTTTTCTTCTTGCATTTAAGAAGTCATGATGTTGTAAATACTTATCTAGTTCCTATTAAACAATGACAGAAAAGGCAATTATCCTAAAGTTATTTTGTACTAAAATTTAAACTTCATTTATATTCCTAAGAATAACTCACAAAGTCATTCACTGATTTATTTGGCTTCTACTGTGTGATACACACTACACTAGAAATGATGAATATATAGATTAATTAGACAACATGCCTACTCTCCCTAGAGAGATAGACTACAAGACAAATACACAAAATAGGAGGGACAATACAGCAACATGTATGTGTGTGTATATATAATATACACATATGTATACATATATACATATAGGTAATACATATAGATTGTCTGTAACACATATAGATATAAGCATGTATCTATAAAAGAACTAAAAACAAAGACTCAGATACTTATATACCAATGTTCGTAACAGCATTATTCACAATAGCCAAAAGATGAAAACAACCCAAGTGTCCATCAGCAGATGAATGTATAAACAAAATGTGGTATATACACAAAATGCAATATTATACAGCCATAAAATGGAATGAAGTTCTGACATAGGCTACAACATGGATGAATCTTGAAGACAATATGCTAAGTGAAATAAGCCAGACACAAAAGGACAAATACTGTAGGATTCCACTTATATGAAATTATCTAGAGTAAACAAATTCATAAAGACAGATGGTAAGCCAGAAGTTACCAGAGGGACCTCTGGGGAGGGAGGAATGTAAAGTCATTACTTAATGCATATACAGTTTTGGCTGGGGTGATGAAAAGTTTTAGAGATAAATAAATGGTGATGGTTTCACAACATCCATCTGTTTGGAAATAAATAGTAATGATGATTGCACAACCTGTGAATAATTAATGTCACTGAATTGTACACTTAAAAAATGGTTAAGGGGCACCTGGGTGGCTCAGTCAGTTAAGTGTCTGACTCTTGATTTTGGCTCAGGTCATAGATCTCAAGTTCATGAGATCAGGACCTGTGTCAGGCTCCACATTGGGTGTGGAGCCTGCTTAAGATTCTCTTTCCTTCTCCCTCTGCCCCTTCCCCTCAAGTGTGCACTCTTGCTCACTCTCTCTCTCTCATAAAAAAAAAAAAAAAAAGGTTTAAGATAGCTAATTTTATGTTATATATATTTTACCACAATGGAAAAAAGTGACTAATTTTTTTTTTATTCCTACAGTGGGACACATTTGGGATGGGCCTTAAAGGAGTTACCTAGGGGGCACCTGGGTGACTCAAGCAGTTGACCATCCAGCTTAGGCTCAGGTCATGATTTCACAGCTCATGAGATCGAGCCCCACATCAGGCTCTGTGCTGACAGCTCAGAGTCTGGA